AACTATATTTTGAAAATAGAAGAAAATTCCACTTATAAAATGATAAGTGAATTCTTCTCTACTTCACTTTCTGCATTGTTAACTTGTTTTTTGTCTGAGTTCATGTTACTAGATCTCACTGTGGCAAAAACATGCAGAGTAAATTGTACATGTTCTGGAATTTCTCATTTTAGCCAAGATAGAAATTTCTCTTTCATTGTTACGTATCTTGGGAGTTAACAGGCATTCATAGTTGAATAATTATACCATGACAGGCATGTGATATCTGCATAAACTCAAATTAAGCTCCTATTAAAAACATAATCTGCATGAAGTATGAACACATGTGCTTTCTGTTTTCTTTGGTTTATACCATTAATTTTAATGATGACAAAAAGCAGATGAATTATGGCCCTGAGGTTATGTGGAGGAGCCCAGATAAATTCAGATCCCATAAGTTTAAGAGGGAAAATCCTATTTAATCCAGCCACAAGGACTGCACACATGCTCATATTGTTACTCGGAAAGGCATGAATAAAGTCACTTTTCCACATATGTGGAAGCAAAGTGACTCAGATGCCTCCAAATAAAGTTAGAAATATGTTAATACCTCTATTTCTTTGTAATGTTTTCAAAATATGAGGAAAAAATAAAGTACATCGTGATCAGTCATAATCTCTTCAGTTATGATTAATTCAGAGCTTAAAACATGTATGAACCACAATACTACATTGTATGCCTATTATATATATATAATACGCATTCTAAGTATGCCATATATTCATGAACAGCAAATCAAGTAAAGACCAGACTTCTGTTCTTCTTGTTCTACATTTTACATGATTTTCCTACATATCACTAGTATGAACTTAGATAAGTCACTTTTTTCTGTCTCTTTCATATTTCCTCTATGACCAATAGAGGGATAATTGCACTACATATTCCAATGGCAACATGAGGACACAAATATGTACAAAGCACTTAGGAAGGTGTGCTTAGCTATCTGCTTAACAGATGCTAGTCATTATTTTCACTAAGTTATACCCACACTATCATAATAAACATGTGCCAATCATTCAGCTTCTTGAGGGGTGGTATCGCCCTGTAGACAAGGCTTTCATCAAATTCATGGCAATCTTCCTATGTCAGCCTCTAAAGCTCTAGGATGCTAGAATCACAAGCATGTGCCACCATGCCCAGCTAATAGTGCATTTATGATAAATAAAATTATAAGTAAGTAAATCTCCAGTATCTCATTTGACTTTTGAAAACAATTATAAAATATGTCCAATTAATAGATGAGTATGCTGGCACTTCAAAGAAATTTTTAATGAATTTTTGTGATTTTAGTACAATAAAATTTGATGGTGTTTAAATAACCATCCCTAGCCTCACCACCCCAATTGTCTTCTACGCACTTTAATGTACACTATATTTAATAACACCTACAGAGTCTAATTTGTGTCTCTAAATATCCTTCAGTGTTGGTCCATCCTCTGGATCTTGATTAATATACCAAGAGTCCCATGGCTGAAAGAAGCTGTCTTACCCCTCCCAACAGCCATCTGTTGCCACAATTTTTGGGAGGGAGGGTGGAGCTTCTTACCCACTTCCACAATCTATGCTGGAGCATTTTCTGGTTTGAGCATTCATGGATTTGAACAGGCTATCACCATTGCTTTGAGTTCATGTGAGTAACTGACCAGCTGCCTGGACATTTCTGCTTCCTTGTGGACATCCATGCCCTCTGGCTCTTACAATCTTTCCCCTCTCTTCCACAATGATCCTTCAGCCTTGGGGTAGAAGTTTGATATAGGTGTCCAATTTAGGGGAAAGTGTTCTGCAGCCTAGTTCTAGAGCACACAACCATTAGTACAAAGAGCATAGAATCTAGATTCCATAATGCAGACACAACTACATTTACCTTAAGGATCAAATAACAAGAAAATTCTGAGTTGTAGAAAAGACACATAATATCTGGAGACCAATTTTAAGAAGTAGGATTCCTTTTATTTTTAAGACAGTGGTTAGACAAGCAACAGAAATTAAAGTCTATGAGGACAGACCAAACAACTATCTTTTGAGTCATTTTGTAAAGGAATTCTTAATTTTTCTAGGAATGATAATAAAATTATTTCTCCCTATATTTTGAATCCTAGTAAGAATACTCTAGAAACAAATATTATGCCATTAAAAAAGTTTCAATATAATTGAAGTTAAAGTTTAATAACATATCAATGATATAAATAACATTATATCTTATTAACATAATGGAAATGTTTTGCATTTTAATAACTAGAATTAATTTCTGTCAAAAATATCATATAATTGGCTTTGTAGCTCTGTAGTTTATAAGGAAAATTTGCTATCCAAAGTGTATGTGGTCTTTTTTTTTTTTTGAAGTGACAAGCATTCAGTACTGTATTAATATCAATTAATTCAAAATATCTCAGGTTTAGCTTGTATGGTGCTCTAATTTAAGCACTCACAAGGCTAGAGCTCTGTGTGATTGAGGCCACCCTGGGATGCTCTACTTAGGGAGTTCTAGGCCTGCTGGGGCTACAGTGAGACCCTGTCTAGAAAAAGAAAACAACAACAACAACAATGTAATATTTCAGCTTCAAAAATTCAATTTAAAGTTGGGTGTGGTGGCACAAGCCTTTAAATCCCACACTTGGGTGGCAGAGGCAGGCGAATCTCTGTCAGATTGAGGCCAGTGTGATCTCTTTAGGGATTTCCAGGACAGCTGTGGCTACAGAGAGACCCTGTCTCAAAGAGACCTCCCCAAAATCTCAGTTTAAGAAAACAAAATATTATAATTACTGTACATTTTGAAACTACTCAAAAAATTAATGTTAAAAGAAGTTATTAATATTTGGAATATTTGGAAAGTCTTAAAGTTAGATATTTTCCTTGACTTGTCTTTCAGCATTTTTTTTTTACTTAAAATAGTACTTTATTTGCAGCAATGCTTTGCTTGTTTTATTGTAGGGATGATAAAATTTTAATTGTGATTAGCTATAAATCAGTTAAATTCAAGGCAAGATTAATATATTATAATTAAAGCAGAAATTATATATGTTTTAGTCACATAGCATTGAATTTTTAAATTTCTCAGCAATTGGTGACAGGGACCAGAGTTACATTTCTTTTATATCTTCCTGCAATGTATATTGTTAAATAACTATTTCTGACAGAGTAATTTTATGAAGCTTATTATTAGTAATTGCTCTTATATTCTTTTGAAGAGCCAAGGACTCCTAATAGCTCTCAATTTAAAAAATAACAGAGGAAAATAAAGGAGACTTAAAACAGCAGGAAACCAAGTTTGAACAACTTGATTAACAGAGAAATGGGGGCTGAATTTCAAGAGCTGAATTTATAAGAAGAAAAATAAAATAAATAAGTGAATTGCAAATAACTTAAGTTGGAATGAAAGGGGGGAGGTGTCTGTAAAACACATAAAACATCTATACTTCCATACAAGGGAGAGGACGAAGCAGAAGAAGAAGCTAGAGCAGAGGCAGAGAATCAGACCCACAGACATGCCAGGTGAGATGTGGAATGTTCTTTGCACAGTAACTACATTTTATCTTATAAAACATGCACACCAAACTTCTTTTCCAGGATCTCAAAGAGAATTTTGATGTAGCAAACATAAGTAACATGAGCCACAAAGAACCCAACAAACATACAGAATTCTTTAAACTTGCATGCCATGTAATAAGACCTGGTTCTTCCCTCCTCACCCTGTGGCAGTGCTGCAGTACTTGTCACCAGACTCATATTTCTCTAAATCGTCCCTCATATCCCAGTCAGAATCATCTTAATGTGCAGTCTCTTTGATGCTATTGTTGCCCACCTGGAGCTGTCGTTGACACTTTCTGAATCCAGACTAAATAGCTTATGTTGGCAGAGGATACTTTCCACTTGGGCCCCCAAATTGGTTTTTACTTTATCTCAAAATATGTATAGATGCTTCCTTGTGTAAACTCAATTTTGTGTCATTACGTAAATGTGAATCTTATTTATTAACTTTGGGGAATTTTGCCCATTCTGTTTCATCTACATAGGATAATCTGACTCCTTCTTGGCCTCAGCTCTCTCAGGGCTCCTGCGAAGCCCTCACCCACCCCTAAGGTGTTCACATTTTTGAGCACCCCTCAATCATATCTCACCCAAATCCATCTTTCAATGACTCAATTAAATGAAGCTATGCTTCATATTCTAAAGTTGAATCTTTCCTTTTTTTGAATTTTTGTAACATTTGATTTTCCAGGCTTATTATGTTATAAAGGTCTAATAAAAGCAGAGTTTCCTGTAAATCTATTTGAAATGAGTTATTAAAGCATTGTGAGCATTTAAAATCTATTCAGTGTTAATAAACACCCTCCAAATACTTTAAACCTTTATAATAGTAAATGTAATGCCTTTCTGTTAATTTCTAATATAATTGTTTAACTTCAACAAATAGAGTTCTCTTTCATATTTCAGGTATGAGCCTTACATAGCAATTAAATATATATTGCTACTTAAGCAAATTTATATCAGTATTTAACAATCACTTATAAATTGGTTAATTCTTTAAAATAAATACAAATATGAAAATCACATTAATAAATTATAAACTGGCTGAATGTCTTTAATTTTAATACTTAAAAGGCAGAAAAGCAGGAATATCTCTGTGAATTTGGTTTTAGGCTGATCTATATAATGAGTTCCAGGACAGCTAGGGATTTATAGTGAGACCTTATCTCAGAAAAAAAAAAGAAATTATGTATTACTACTATAAATAAAAAATTATACGTTGTAAATGCAAATAGCTTCTTCAGCCTATTGTATGACTTACATAAGCCCAGATACACCTGGAGTAATTGCTACTGAGTAAAACAGGTAGAGCAACTTTATTGAAATGTGGGATACACAAAGGAAAATGTTACATTGATTGAGACTTTTTTTCTAAAGACATGTTAATAACAGTTTAGGACAACATAGGCATCCTACAGCTTATTTACAGTGAAAAATGTTACTTGTGCAAATCAGAATCATTTTGTTGAAACTACCATTTAGCAGATTTTCAAATAAATAAGAAGTTGCTGGTCCATGTCTAAGAGGAGAGGCTGCCAGAGCTGCCAAGCCCCAAAGTTACATGAATGATTAGGATGATTTATTTTATTTATTTATTTATTTTATTTATTTTTGATTTTTGAGATAGGGTCTCTCTGTAATCCCAGATGGCCTGACCAGGCTTGCCTCTTTCTCTCAAAGATCTGCCAGCTTCTGCTTCCTAAGTGCTGGGATTAAAGGCAAGCACCACCATGCCAGATCAATTAGGATAATTTTTAAGTTCTACCAACAATCTGGTGAGTTTGGCCCTCAGTGAAGTTGGCTCTACTTAGAGTCATTATATTTACTGATAAACATGATATGAGTAAGTAATTACCACCACCACCCCCAAAAATAAAAGATATGAAGATATAGTGAAGGTTAGGGTTAAATTGTTAATAGTTTTTTTTTCTTTTTACCTATTGTAGCAAGAATATTCTAATATTTGAAGCAAATAAATACCAATACTATAGTAACATCAACACATATAACTAAGGAATCAAAACCGTATTTCCCACAATTCATTTATCTACTGTTTTACTATTTGAGATTTGTAGCCTAGCATCTATTACATCATCATATTCACACCCATGTCATTTTCTTAAATTATTTGCTCATTGAAGCCAGGGGTATGTTGGGGTGTAATTATGAGATCTAATTTTTTCATAGAGTCTCTTTCCATTCAATAATTCTTGTTCATTTATCCATTCAGTTATTCAGTCATTCATTTTGTCATTGGGCTTTAACACAATGCAGAGCCCACTCTTACTATGTTGAAGTACTAAAACAAGATCTATATTTTATCTGAAACAATTTAGTAGGGAAAACAGAATGCATGTTTCACTGAAGACTACAATGCTAAAGCTACAAAAGGGCCCAAAGAAGATATGAATGAATAGATTGCTATATTACTTCCAGACAGAAACTCTTTCCCTCAGTGAGGAAAATCAATGCAATTTAATGGAGTGTATAACATGACCTAAACTTTAAGGAATAGATTTATGATCTAAGTTGATTAAAGAAAAGTAACTCTTAGTAGTAGAATGACAACTCCATAAAACAATAGATACACACTTGTTTGTCAGTACTGACATTAACTATTATATCGCATAACTCACCTTTGACAAAACTCACTCAATTCATGTTTTCAGTATGAATGCTCCTTGCAGATGTTATTAAGCATGGTTTTGCTTTTATTTTTATTGTGATTTTCATCTGATGTTAAGTTTTCTCACCTGGAAAATCCATTGATGGCCAACTCTCTACTTTTCTGGCAAAAGAAAGGATTCAGGATTTGGAAAGATGCTGTTCAAGACTACTTCTGACATAGGAAACAGTCTCTATTTGCCTCTTTATAGTACTGTAGCCATAGTGACATATAACTGTGGACCATTTGAAATGTCAGTGAGGAATAGAAATTTTCCTGTTTTAAATTATTATGAATTAAAGAAAGAGACATGAGTCATGTCTGTATAGCATTGTTCAGTGCTAATCCAGTGTCACCCTTTGAGGAAAAGTAAGTTCCGGATGAATTTGATCCAAAAAGGAACCCTTTAGTCAAAGTGCAGTACACCACAATGTTTCCTGTGATATTTTATTACCTTAGTTCTTTCTTAAAGCCAGTAGATTTGTCCTGTCTAAACATTACCCACATTCAGTTGTTAATTCGAAATTGCACCAAAGAAAACTAGTATAATATACATTTATAAGAACCACTAAAGACTTCTTCTAGGAAGTAACATGAAATTAAGCTTAAGAAAAAGTCATGATAGGACTAAGACTAAGGGTGTTTGAGGCAGAAGGGAAGGCGCTTGCAGACAAAGATCACAGAATCATTGCACATCCAGGAAGCCAGAGAAATCACAATAGTTTCATGTAAGATTTTTTTGTGAGAAATAGAGGAGACAAAGAATAAAATTGATAAAGTATAAAAATATACATTCTTTAAAAATTGTCTCAAGTACTAATTCTTATAAAATATTGTGTATTATATTCCCTACATAAAATATTCATTCTACTGCACACATGCAAGGATTTACTTTCTGTCAATTACTTAAACATCATTTATGTTTTAATCATTAAATAAACTAGCTTAAATTGCAACATTATTGCCAAAATTTATTACTTGGACAAGATTGAGATTTAAGAAATTTATTGCCATGATGTCACCAATGGCTTATAATTTATAAGACTTTGGATTAGACATTAACATAGTTATTATTTCCTTAATGCCTTACCTCACCAGTCCAATAACATTCAGGAAATCCCCAAGACAAAGGAGAAAGAATAGTCTTGAAAGCTAAAAATAGTCGTTGAAAACTGATGCAATCATGAAATAAAACCCAGCACAATAACTTACATGATATGCTGGTAGTATCTGTGAAAGCAATTAGAGCCCGTGCAGTGAAATTTGGGTTCATGTATTACTAAAAGTGGATAACTTTTTCCACTTAGGTAAGGCATATAAGCCATGTAGTTTAATTACATCCACGAACCTTGGGATTTTTTGTCTTAATATTTGCATTTGTGATCTACTCAACATTCTTCCAAAGCAGAAAATCATTGAGTAACAACCAGCTTTCAAAAGATCTTCTTAGTAGAGTCTGAGCATAAACTACTTGATATATTGCATATAACATCGGAAGCTAATACACAATTATACTGTCATGGAGTTTGTACACAATGATTAAATCTTATCATATGTTTTATATGGTTTCTCATTGGAAGCAGAAACACTAAAACAGATATGTTAAGGATGGTTATGCTTTTATGAGCATTTTTATGTGTCTGATTTAATTGTACTGTAATTTCTAAAAATTCTTACAATTTTCTTTCTTTCTTGGATTTTTGAATCTCACATAGTTCAGGGTAGCCTCAAACATGCCATGTAACCAAGGATGATCTTGAATTCCTGATCCTTCTTTTTCTACCTCCTAAATATTAGGATTACCAGTGTACCAATACTGGTAAAGTGCTTTAACAGATTACCAGCTAAACACATTTTGAAAGAAAATACACATATTAAGAAAATCAGTATTTGCCTCTGCCAAAAAGTCTTACTTTATTCTAATTATGCATCCTAATATTTACAGACAAGTATACCTTTCAGCCCTCATCAAAGAAGCTTCTTCTTGCAACACATGGGGACTATTGCAGAGTTTCAGAACTGGTCAAATGTAAAGAATAAGTCTCTGTGAGATGCATAATACTAAGTGTCACATCTTCAATGCAACCTCCACACATAGGATGAATACATCTACTCTCACCAGAGAAGATCCCTTCTGCAGCAGATGATGATTAACACAGAAACTCGACAATTGCCCAATGTATAAAAACACACGAGGCCAGAGAGTGCTTATCCCTGAAAAGGACACCTATTTCAAACTTCTGCTTCTCGAGACTTAGTGATCATTGCAGAAGAAGGGACAGAAAGATTATATGAGTTAGAGGGAGTGGATGACCAAAAGGACACAGAGTCCTCCAGGCAGCTGGCTAGTTACACGTATGAACTCACAGTAATGCTGACAGCATGCACAAGGCCCAAGAAAGTTCAAATAAGACCTAAATCTCAGCACAGATATGGGGAAGTGGGTAAAAAATTTTTAAAAATTCCCAGCTTAACCTAAGGAACTTTAGCAATTGTTGATTGCTGGGAGGGGGAAAGACTGTCTTACAAGGATGGGACTGTTGGTGGGCCTAGTGGATGCACCGATACTGAATGATATTTGGGGATGCAAATCAGAATTTATAGGCTATTACATATATATATATATATATATATTATATATGAGTATATTTAATTGTCAAGGGGATATTAGGGAAGATGTGAATAAGAGAGGGGATCTAAATACCATCAAACTATATTGTAAGAAAGTCATAGAAATTTATTAAAAATAAAATTTAAATAAAATCTTTTTTTGTACTTCAAAGATTTTTCTTTCAGTAAAGCTTTTCAAAGAGATTTTTGTCTGCTATTAGAAAGAACAATTTTCAGTGCCCTGTGGAAGGTTAAAGTATTTACACATATTGTAAACATCTGTTAATTTTTACTTAAGAACATATACAGAAATACTGTGGCATGAGAAATTTTGAGAAGCATGAGACAAAATGACTCTACTGTGTTAAGTATCAATAATGGAAGAAGGAAAACACTTCTGAGAATAAATTATACTTTACCACACTTTTTTACATCAAAGATGAATTTTTTTAGTCTGTTGCAAACAAAGCAACTCAGTTTTAGAAGAATTTGGGGAATGGCTTCGTGTCTACAGTTAATTAAAGTCAGAACCAGGAATAACATCCAATTCAAGCATCCCTGGACCCAATAACACATGTAATGGGCATGAAGTTTATACTACAAAAATTTTTATGCAAGTAACTTTATTTCATTATTCATAAACTGTATATATATATATGTATATATATTTTTCCTAAGTCCCCATCTTACTGGTCTGGAAAGGAAACTCCTGTTTTGCCACTCTGCAGAATCCTGTAAGAAGAGAGAGCATTTGCATGGTAGATGTTCAGAAAATTTTCAGTAAAATTTATGATTGGAAGAAAGATATTATGTCAGCATCAGAGGTGATTAGCTGAATATTTATTTTTGGATTGAACAAAAAGAAGGTTGACTTTGAGCATATTTCCAGACTCCATGGCCAAGGATAGTTTTTCATCTTTTCTTGAACCATGACTGACATGCTTAACCTGCCTTTTTCTGTAGCCTAATTCTTCACCTTTTGAGTAAAGGGCTACATGACATTGGAAGTATTTTCCATATTCCTTGACATCATTTGATTAATTTGGACATATAATCCTAGAAACAATGTATCTCGTACTCTGAAAGGGTAGTTTATCTGTGCTAGTCAGTGTTGTAACATGTTTCTGAATAAAATATGAAATAATATTTGCAAAAATATTTTATAACACACTTCCTACCACTTCTCTCGTCTTCTTCCCATAACTTTAATAAATATTAAATTCATACATACTGATTTTAATAATATCTTTTATGATTTGAAGAATCGAGCATTCTTGTGTTACAAAGTATACTCCCTTTTTTACTAGTTCTTAATGCTAATCACCATATAGGGATTGAAATTTTCCTTTAAAAGTCCTTCTGTATTTTATTAGTATGTCAATAATTTTCATGTTATATTTTTAGTATTGAAGTACTTACAACACGTTAGGTGTCTACTGAGTTATACAACCTCAAGTAGTAAAGTACTATGTCTTTCATATTACATTAATAAATTTGATAATTTTGGTAAACAACTTTTTTTTAATTTTCATATTATTTGTTGTAGTGATAATATGAATATTAATAGAAAAGTAATATTTTCTGACTTCAAAATTCTTTATGTAAATTATGTAATATTCCTAATTTGTCTTTAAGGTTAATTATTCATATTCACATTGATTTAGGAGGTTCAGGGTTTCAGAGATATGAAATGGCAACCAAATATCTGGATGTGATTATTTGCCAAGCTGGGCTTTGTGCCTAGCTCACCAATATTCTCGCTATAACTTAGCACAATTCTCAGAAAACCCATAAATCATTGTACAATGTTAATTTCAGAACCAAGCTGAAGAAACACAGTTGGTAAGGGACAGCTAATATGAAATACAGAGTCAATGCAAGGAAAGAGCAGGATGGGGAATTTGCAGTCACTCACATGAACCTGTAGAATGCTTTTGGTTTGCTTCCCTTTTCACTTATCTCTCTAATTTAAATCAGTTTTAAGAGCCTTAATTTGAAATTCTGCCATTAGATCCATCAGAAATATTGAATGTTAAATAAAGTGCTTCTTACTGACCTTAAAATGAACACCATTTATTATTCTAGGGTAGCAAATAATTTTATGTGAATAGGAGAGAAATTGCCAAAAACACTATTTTACTTCAGCCTGTAGACAAGTTAATGTGCTACTGGAAAAAGCATACATATTCTGACCTAATTAATCCCATGTCATCTGGATCTGTAGAGAGTGCCGGAAATGCTTCCAAATTTCCTCAACTGTCACACACAGGTTGCAGTAGCAAGACACATCATGACAGAGGAGTCTCACAGGGACTCAATTGCCTCCTTATCATGACTTTGTTGTCAGGTCTACTGCACACAGCCTTGGTACATGAGTATATTTTTTCATGTATTTAAAAGTACACTCCTGCATCTGGGCACTTGGTCCAGGATGGGGTAGATTTCTGTGTACCTAAAAGCTACTCTTGCTGTTCCCTTGATGCTACCTCCTAGGCACACTCTGCTTTAGAGAAACAGATAAAGACAGTGGTATGTGCCTCACCTGCTACTTCAGTAGGGAAATACAGCAGAAGCATGTAAACCCCAAGAGTTGCACAAAGGACCAAGTGGGACCAGACTGCTATGCCTACTTAGTTCTTGCTAATGAATCATGTACAAGGAAAGGAAGAAGAACTTATTCTCGAAATGTATTCTGCAATTTTTATTCTCTATTAAACTGAGTCATTTCATATAAACTTGAAATGTGTTTCCCTAAAGCTATTAGGACAGGTCTTGGCAAACCTGTGGGGGCGGGGGAAGATTGCTCTCTTCCAGCAAAGAAGAATGCTGCTCTTACACTGTATCACTTGCAGTGTGCTTACTGCTTTAAAAAAAAGCCATCAAGCTAAGTGGCTATTTGGCCTGTAATAGCTCTTTCAAGTGACTTAATTTATTTAGTCATTTCTGAAGTTTACACAAATTAAAATATTCCATGTTGTTGGATGTGACTGCTCGACCTCTCTCTGATTAAGTGATGTGTTGAAACCACTTGTTTATAAATAAATTAAACTTTTATCTGTTTTAATCTGCAGGACAATGTTTTTAAATTGCAAGACTCACATTTTGAAAATGGACGTGGGAAGAGTCCATATGACCCTAAACTGCTGACAGCCTCTCTTCTAATAGGTATGTAGTCAACGATCGAGCAAATAGTGAATCTGCTATAAATAATAGCCAGGTGACATTGCTCTTTATATCTGCCACGATTTCCCATCACATCAGTTGTGATAGTCTCAAATACTTTAAAATAAAGAAATATCACCAACTGTTGTCTTGGTGATTGCCCTACTGAATCTGAGACTTTTTTTTTCCACAAAAACTTTATTGAGAATTTCATACATGTATATAAGGTGTTTCAATCAAATCCATGCCCACCCCCCAACATCCCCCCCTCTGAAGAGGTAATCCTAAAATCTTTTAAGGATTAGATACAAGCTCCCAAATATTTTTGACATTTTTGGCCTTTGGAACGGTGTATGTTACTAACAGGCCCAAGAACATTTTGACTTTTAGCCAAGAAACTGGCTATATTTCTTTGGGGCCTTTTTACACTAACTGCCTAGCCAATTCCTACGTTCTATTCTTATCACACCATCCTCTGAAGGGTTTACCCAAATTGTTAATAGGGAGTAGGGACACCGACTGCTCTGGCTTCTTCCATGATGAACAGGGACGCAGGGTGAGGCAGTTGGAGTACCCCTTCAGTGGGTCTATCTAAAAGACTCCCAAACTGCATAATTCTTTTCTCTAAGGGAAGAAGACAGTCCTTGAATCATGAATAGTAGATGTGAAGAAGTAAAGGCAAGAGTAATTAGCATTACAAGTTCTAGACAGGGAACTAGAATGAAAGTCCATTGGAGTTTCTTGACAAGGGCTTCCAAAAGCATCCCTCTATTAGGTTCTTCCTAGTTTTTCTTTTGTCTTCCAAGGCTGGACTAGTTGTCTGGGAAGAGTGGCTGGATACTCAGCTCTGAGGGCCCAGTGACCTTGCTTGGCACTCCTTTAGTGAATGAGCATAACTGTCAGCAAGCCCAGTTGTGACTATGTTTAGCGATCAGGCTCAGCCAAAGTCGTGATGGTGGTAGTTATTTAATGCAGACGGGACTGAAGATGCTATACAGTCTGATTCATTTTAAGGAAATACTTCAACTAAATCTTTAAAATAGTTTAGTTGGCTCAATCATTATACATCCTTGGTTGAACTTTAATTTTTTAATTTTTGTTACAATGTATTCTTTCATTTGATTAAAAAATATGCAAATAAAAGATTTTGAGATGTGATTAAGAAGGAATGACATTGCCTATCCTGATGATTGTGGTTTAAAATTTTGTCACAGTTTCATCAACCCAATCAGTGTAAGTGGTGGTGCATTTGGCAGAGACCCTTTTGTACCTTGTTTGACTCCTTGTAGTATCTATTTATGTATGTCTGCCTAAGCACGCATTCTATCTTCATCTTTCGTAGCTTTGTATCTTCCTTGCTTAAAATCCAGTATTACGGTTTCTGTGATTTCCTTTTCCCTTTTCTCTTATCATTCCTTTTCTGGGTTTATTTTTCTCTGCTGCAGAGGGCTGGAGAGTCCTCATTGTTCAAAAGATGGAAGTAGGATTGAAGTAGGAAAAAATGTCAGCCTGTATTGAAAGATAATTTAGGATACTTTTTTTTTTTTTTTTTTTTTTTTGGTTTTTTGGAGACGGTTCCCCCCTGCAGCCCCAGCTGTCCTGGAACTCACTATGTAGACCAGGCTAGCATCGAAATCACAGAGATCCGCCTGCCTCTGCCTCCCGAGTACTGGGATTAAAGGCGTGTACCACCACTCCCAGCTTAACCATATGAACATATGAAGACGCAAATTTTAATTTAAATTGTTGTTAGCTTAAATATATAAACAAGATGTAATTATCGTGAAATATTTCCTTCTCCCTCCCTCCCTCTCTTTCTTTCCTTCCTTCCCTAATTCATCCTTTCTCTTTTCTTCCCCCAACTTCATGTCTTCCTTCCTTTCCTCCTTTCTTATTTCTTTCATTTCCCTCCCACCCTCCTTGCTCCTTCACTTCTTCCTTCCTCTCTCTTTTTACTTCTTCCTGTCTATTTTAGTTTTTAGCCTTTGGAGCATATCAACAAGTTTATGCAAAAATTATTTGGTTTTTTGTTTGTTGTTTTTTGAGACATTGTCTCCCTATTGTTCCAGCTGCAGCTCCTGAGGTAGAACAGGTTGCCCTCTAACTCACAGAGATTCCACCTGCTTCTACCTCCCAAATGCTGGGATTCAAGGTGCACATCACCACACAAGGCCTACAAAAAAAATATTTGTATATTTTTTCCCTTTCTGCCAACTTATAATGTATTTGTTTCATAATACAACACAAATAATGAGTTTCAAAATACAATTTTTAGCTGAATTTTTAAAAGTAAATTAATTCTGGGGCTGAAGAGATGGCTCAGTGGTTAAGAGCATTGACTGTTCTTATAGAGCACCTAGATTTAATTCCCAGCACCCACATGCAGCTAAAAACCTTCTGTAACTCTAGTTCCAGGTGAATCCTACTCCCTCCTCTGCCCTCCATGGGCATTGCACGACATGGGTGCACTTACATAAATGCAGGCAAAACACTCACATACATGCAGGCAATATAGATATGATTTATGATATACATAAAATAAAAATAATTTTAAAAAATAATTTTATATTTTATATGTATTAATGTATTGCTTGCATGTATGTAAGTGCACCCATGTTGTGCCATGCCTGTGGTTAGAAGAGGGTGTCAGATCCCCTAGAACTGGAATTACGGGTGGCTGTTAGCCACCATGAGGAGGCTGGGAATAGAACCTGGGTCCTCTGCAAGAGCAGTCTTAACCACTGAACTGTCTCTCTAGCCAAAAAAAAAAAAAAAAAGTAAATTATTACCTTATTTGTCATAGAGCATTGCATGACAATGGTGCACTTACATACATACAGGCAAAACACTCACATACATAAAGACAATAAACTCAAAGACATAAAATAAATATAATTTTTAAGAGTAAATTAATTCTTAGCTTGTCATAAGTTCATAGGTTTCTTTTTTCTTGTACAAATGCTTTTTTCTACTCAAGAAAGTACAACTTGGAGATGGAGAGATGGCTTATCAGTTAAGAGCATTGGCTGATGTCCCAGAGGACCCAGGTTCATTTCCCAGCTCCCACAAAGCAGCTAACTGCCATTCATAACTCCAGTTCCAGGGACCTATGCCCTCTTCTTACTTCCATGGGCATTGCATGATGTGGATGCCCTTACATACAAGCAAGCAAAACACTCATACACATAAAAACAAAAATAAATAAATCAAATTTTAAAATTTTTTTAAAAGAGCAAATAATACTTTAATCTTACATTAACCATAAAGACGTGTTTCCACTATTGTCCAGAGTTTACTATCATTAATCAATGTTACATTAAAAATCAAACCATTGCAGCATATATTGCCACTTCTATTGCTTTCAAGTGTAGAGAATTTTAGTCCATTTGATTCTTTTATGCACCATTTTACGTGGACTTTTAAAACCTGGAGGAAAGCCACACACTTAGCAAACTTGTAATTTCCCTACCCACGGGTAACTTAGTGATCGCATGTGTATGTTGTCCTGAAGATATGTGCTGGAATTTGAAAGTCACCTTAAAAACCAGGGAAGAGTCATACTTTATTCTAACTTGCAACCTATATTTATTTAAATTGCACACCAAAAGTTAGAGATATTGCCAAAAAGCAGTCTGTAAAAGTGTGCCTAAAGCTGCACTAGCTTGTGGTATATTCCTCAGAGGGATTTGCTTGATTATTTATTTTAATACTCTATTGAGAAAGGATGATGACAATCAGCATTACGTAACTCATGTGGTATGCAACCACACGAAGTCCACAAACAATAGGAAAATCTAAAGTTTAGGTTTTATATTAGAATTTCTTTGAAAAAGATCTATAGGTTGATGAAAAGTAAAAGAGAATGAGGGAGGTTCAGCTAGAGGATGTGTGGCTGAGAAAGCACAATGAACCTTTCAGAAATTCCAGCTTTCCATGGAGGTCCAAACTTAACTACCCCGCTACATCAAAAAATTAAAAATTAAAATCATTTGTCTATTAAGAAAGAGGGTGCAGCACAGGGTACACGTGAAGGTTTGAGCTCATAAGAATTTGTTCTTCCCTTCCACCTTTAGGCTGCCTGGCACTAAACTCAGGTCATCAGACTGGTGACAAGTGCTTTGAACCATTGACCCCACACAACTCTTGCCCAGGCAACATCATTTTAATTCAAGAGATGTAATTACCTTTGATGAGGCTGTTTGCTTTGTATCTATGTTATAAATTAATTTTTGTATGGTACATATAATTTCCTTCTTTGGCTTTCCTTGTTATATTCTCTTATACTACTTTAATAAGAATATTCACTAGTTTAATGAGGCCTATCTGCATTTCAGCAAATAAGAGAAATTCTTAGGCTGTTATAGGGTACTTTCTTCCCCACATTTAGGTTTGACTGAAAACATCTGTAAACTGTTAAGCTGGATCTTAGCAGAAGGTAACTTTTTATACCAGCAATACCAGTGCAAAGCAGTTTCAACCAATATTCTTTAAAACCAGATGATGGCTGAAAATTTAGTTTGGTTAATGTATCATCATTTAGTATAACCTTTTTTCAAAGTACCATATGTTTGTAGAATGATGACCATAGGAAATAGGATTTCTTTTCTCCTGATTGATGCCTAGCTGGGTTAAATACTCAATCTGATAATATGCCTTTAATTTTTCATATCATTCTAATAGTTAATTTTGTCAACCTTCTTTAATAATTGTTACTTTGTTAATATGAAAGTACTCTAGAATTTATTTCTAAAATATTTCTGATTTCTTTCACCTTCAAATATTTATCTGACTTTGTTTAAAATATCTTTATTAAAGATAGCATATGTCCCTCTGCTCAGTATAAATACCAGGTGTGAGCACAGCATAAGGATAAAACCTACTATTTTCCACACTAATTAAATACCAACTCACATTTTCATGATATGAAAGGAATAGTTAACTTGAGAGCAATTTCACTTCTTCACTGAAATCTTTCCAGGCAATGCAACACTGATAACTTACAAGTATTCCATCATTAAGGGATATTACTGAGATATATTTCAAAGGTCTGAGACTGTCAGCTAAGGTTTATATCTTCACGCTGGAACTCTGCATTGCCTCAGGAAAGAACATAATTTGACATTAGAAAATGCTCTCCCTGGGTATTAGACCAAGCAAGATACTCCCTAAATTAATTAAATATAATTGAAAATATTATTTGAACTTCTCTGAGACTCAATTCCCTGATATATAAAATGGAAATGCCATGTTATTCCACTAGCATTTGTGAGATGAAATAAGGCAGTCTAATAGCATGCTGCTATGTTTTTAGTGTATGTGTATTTCTGGGATATAACTGAGAAGCACAGGGAACATAACAGTAGGTATGTATGAGGAATTTAGGAAGTTCGATGCCTCATAAATTTTATATATTAAATTTTGTGCCATGTGCTTACATAACTACAGCAGAGTGTCAGATTTAAAAGACCAACATATGTAACAAAGCCTGCATATGTGTTAGTGTATAGATAATGGTCAATAAAGGGGAAAATATAAAACTGTGGATTTCATCCATGGTGTGTAGGGTGGTAGGGAAAGAGAGCAAGGTTAACTTCTTTTCTTCTTCTGTTTCTTATTACTGCACTACTCTGAGAGCTGAAACTACTTAAGGTGTTAACAACATAATAGCCTTGTCTTTAGGTTTGTTTGATATTTGCTCACATTTGTGTCACACTTTTCACCTGTACGAGTGATGCTGAAATTTCATCAGGAAATTTATTTTTCCTTCTTCAGTTTCCCCTCACCACACCCTTCTTAGGAATTGTAATCTGAGACATTAACTGATCTAAGCCACATTGGTGCTTTATTTTGAGCTGTGAATAGAAATTCTATGGCTTTTGTTTTTGATACCTGCTTGTCAAGGGACTCAGCTTGTGGTGAACATAATGTTCAAAAAAACTGTTTTTATTCATCTCAGTGAACTGCTTTTCTTAGGTACAGTTTTAAAAGGTTACAGTTAAGAAAAAATGGGGGTGTGCTCAGATACTTTGGTGTCTGGAAGTTTCTAGGTGTAGGTTTAGTTATATCTGTCAGCACCAAGTATCTTAGTCCAATGTATTAATTTTGAGCCAGCAAATTTCTCATGTGCTGTTTCTGTGTACAGAGTCCTAAGGTCCTGTTGGCTGGATAGAGTGACTGTATCCTTGAAAATATTATTCTACCATTAACTTAATAAAATGGACACATGCTATGTTTTATTATATAATAACTTATTGAATATAGAGAGCTTAATATCTATCCAAACAAAAATGTTACTTAAAAGAAAAAATATTAATATACTACTTCAGATTTTCCAGAACACATATTACCACTATGCTTAAGAACCAATATATAACTTGGGAACTTAATAAATGACCTAGAAACTACAAAAATTTATTCAGTGACATTTTGTTGTTGTTGCTAAACTTATCTGTTCTAAAACATCAATTATGCTTATGAAAATAAATACATTATGTAGAGTCAAAAACAGATAGTTGTAGAAAGCCACAAAATACAACACAGCTTTAGTACATAGTAGAAATGTTCAAATGTAATAACTGGCATAGACTCAGAGTTGCTATTATATTTCTGCTCAATAAGAAATAAACAAGAATAGGGCATTTTGCCACCTAAAGTTTCTGCCAAAATAACTAAGATGTAATATCTTATATGGAGCCGTTATCCATGATGAGAATTACTGTAGATATCTCAGCAGGAAATCTGCTCTAAGGCTGAGTGCAAGAAACAGCTACTGGCAGTGAGCATAGACAGTAAGAGAATATGTCTTTATGGCCACCTAATTACCTGGTACCTTTCAGCTCTAAACACTCACTCTGATTTGTGCCAAAAGTAATATTTGGGAAGAAAATGATTTCCCATGGCTGAAAGCAACTGGAATTAAATGGCAACCTCTCTTTTGTTTAAAAGCCAAATTTTAAATTTAATTCTCTTTTCAGTAATATACTGAGTTCTTTTATAGAATTCCTCTTCTACTTTATTCAACCATCTTCCTATCTGTTGGGGAAAGAGAAGAAAACCAGGATCTCCTGTACCTTCTATGGTACTGAGCCCTGCCATCCTCAAATGACAGTGAATATAGGAAATAATAACATCACCAAACAAATGAGTAAGACAGACAAACACCTTTCGATGTCCAAAGATCAGTCTGTTGTTGTTGTTGTCTACCTCCTGAGCAGTTTATATATAAGAGCAACTCTAATAATTCATTTCATTTATCCTTAAGAAAATAGCTGCTTGAAAGAGTGAGCATCTAGCCTTCCTCTTCTTTAGCATATGCTATCCAGTCTCCGGTCAAGCACGATCTATTTAATATTAACATTTCCAGTCTTCATTTATTTCTAGTTGTTTCCACCTTTCCTGATTTTCATCACCTAACATGGTTCCTCCATAGTGAAGGTCAATCAGCAATTTAAATATCTTGAAATTTCAAGAATGAGAGGACACAGGCAACCTCTCACAGGGATACAACGTGAACACTGCAGGCAGTTGTCGCACACAATTATAACCAATATCCATTTATTCCCCCAGATGAGAAAAATACATATTTCTCAATACATTGTCAAAGCATAAAACATTCATTTTAATGTGAATGTTAAAGTGCTTAAATATAATTTAATCATAAGACAGGCATTTAAATATGTCAAAGGATCTGAGAAATGAGTAAGTAGCTTTTTCGTAGTGTTGCTATGAAAAAGTGTGTTTATGCCTTTGGTCAAGTAAGATATGATTGCATCATTTTTTGAGAACAGGTCAAATTTTCACTTTTCGTTTAATTAAGTGATGAAAACACATGGTATTTTGAATCCCAAAGATCCCATAGTTAGTATGTGTGTAGTACTATTAATAGTATTATCAATTTTGTTAAGATTTGTAATAATTTTCTTGTCTAAGCAATATTCTCATTCCTCTTGAGTTACAGAATATGAAATAGATGATCAACTTTTGACTTCAACTTCAATACGAGATACCTATGTAGGCAGTTTGAAAATGACAGTTTGCTGTTTAGTGATTTTTTTCCCTCGGCTTGGCTATCCTCCGAAGATCTGCTGACTCTTCAAACCATTAAAACACTTCAGAAACCTAAAGCTATACCACAGGTCTTGATCAGGATTGCACCTCAGAAAATATCTAGTTTATGCTACAAATCTCATGTGAGTGAAAACTGAACATAGAGTGTAATAATGTTAGAAAGTATTTTTATATGAAGATTTACAGAAAGTTTTCATCTAAATAATATGAAAGTATACGGGTAGGATTTATTACACAAAATAAGTCTAAAAAAATTTAAAACACTTGTGAGTTATTTGGAGAACCCCTTTTTTTCGCTTTTGTAATGTTCTGGATATGAGGCACAATATGTTTCAAGGACATAAAACATAAATTTTATAAGCTTCATTTAATTGAAAGGTGGTATAATTTAGTGTAAGAGGCTTGAAATCCAACAGGCCTCGATTTGAATCTTCACCTTGCCTTGCCTAACCATTAAGCTGAGCAATCTTGGGCTTCCTGAAGTGTGAAATAGGGGCACCGTTTTGTACATCTGCTGACAGAACCGAATGAGATCATTCGCGTGTGTGGAGGCAGAGCCTGACTGCCTGACAAGCAGTGTGCTATTCAGTGAGTCTAACTTTTCTCTTGTCCCTTTCTTCTTTTCCAATCTATATTTTTCTTTTTTCTCTCTGTTTGTGACTCCTCCATTACTAAACTCTGACTGGGAATTCATGTAGTGTCAGTGACAAAGGGTCAAAAATAGTAGAATCATGAACTACAGTGTACAGGTCAGCATGGAGTTGCCAGAGTTGTCTCCTCTTCCAAAACAGTTTTGTTTTATCTGAAGACCTGTAGTGGATTATGTTTGATTATGTAATAGTTTATATCAACTTAAAACACTTCTCCCATGAGGTGTACCAAAACCTTAAAAATAGGTTGGGGAGATGGCTCTGTGAATAAAAGGATTACAGGCAAATCTGAAAACAACAGTGTGGATCCACAAAACTGACAAAAAGCCCTGCCTCTGATCCCAGAACTCAGGGGACAGAGACTGGAAAGCTGGGGGCAATCTGGCTATATTTAGACTATCTGGAATTGGCGTGCTCCAGGCTCACTCAGCTAGAGGCCCTGCCTCAGTAAAATCAAAGTAGAGAGCCATGAAGAAAAACATCTGGCGTCACCTTTGGGCCAGTACCACACACACAGAACACACACACACACACCATGCAGACACCACAGGGTGAAATAAAATTAAAAAGAAAATTGTCGCTGGGCTTGGTGGCACATGTCTTTAATCCCAGCACTCAGGAGGCAGAGCCAGAGGCAGGCAGATCTCTGTGAGTTCAAGGCCAGCCTGGTCTACATAGTGAGTTCCAGGACAGCTGGGGCTACAGGGAAACTCTGTCTCAAAAAAGCCAAAAAAAAAAAATTGTCAAAGAAATGCTATCCTTTTATAATAAAATCTCATTTATTCAGAGCCTACAGGAAAACAGCTCATCAAACATTTAATGACCATTAAAATAAGTTACAAAGAAGACTGAGACATCTCATCCTGCTAAATAAGGTTATTTGAGCAACAAGAAGTTTACAGTTGTAAAAGCAAACTGTGTGATATAGTTTGCATTTTGCATTTTTTACATCTTCTAAGTTCATCAGTGTGGGAAAGAATACAGTTTCATGTTTTAGAATTCTTCACTGAATCAGAATTTACTCAGATTTCTTACATTTGTCTTCAATGAGTAGCACAAATTAACATGTGAATTATCATTTGATAAAATTCTTCTTTCAGTACATAGAATAAAATATAAGTAGCTTTTCATAATGATAGAAATAACGTTTGTCATCATAAAATGAAACATATTGTTGCTGTGTTGTTTCCTTTGCATCAATTCAATTAAATAATATGCATGCGGTTTTATTTTGTCACAACACAGATGGAGAGTTGTACTCTGGAACCGCAGCTGATTTCATGGGACGAGACTTTGCTATCTTCCGAACCCTTGGGCATCACCACCCCATTAGGACAGAACAACATGATTCCAGATGGCTCAATGGTAGGTTGTACATTCAAGAACACAGATTCAGAACGGATCGCCATTAGTGTCAGTGAAGAACTTTCCTTTCATGGGGCATATAGTGACTAGAGCCTAAGTAAGTTGTTAAGTTAATGGTGGTGACCTCACATTTGTGGGTGTGAGAAAATTGGGAAAAGAGAAAGGAGAGATTAAAAACTGAGGAAATATTTGTTTTGTGCCAAATTTGAAGTTTCTCAGGGGTTAGCTATGGAAAGAAAAGAATGTGGGCTGAAGCTCCGGAAGGGAGGCAGTGGAAAAAGATACTGTCTTACAGAGAACCCCACAACAAACAGCGTGGTGTAGGGCATTGTTCCTTCATATCTTTGATTATTGCCTTAAACACTACATCAAGTTCTGACATCCAAAATTGCTTTCCAGTGGTAAGAACATCACATATTACTGTTTACAGTAATATGTATCTCATTTTATAGATGAGTGAATGAAAGCCTACATATTGCCTAACCAGTAGACTGTACAAGAACTAAATTTCTTCTATGGCAATCACTGCTTTAAGTACTTGAACAAGGAGATGCTTTGTGCAAAGTGCTTTCACTTTTACTTTATGGTGTTTAAATACTTTTAACAGTTTATAAAATACACAAAATGTACACACTTAAATAAATACATAGTCTTTGGATTTTTAACTAAATAGTCTTTCTACATCCACTCATATATTTGATTATTTTTGCTTATTGTTTTATACAATATTCAAATATTATAATGATCTTTATAATATTATCACAGTTATTTTTTATGACTTTCTGAAATGTATGTTTCTGCTTCTTTAATATTATGAAAAAGTTTCTAGTTCTTTGTTTCCCATATTTGAGCATTTTCTTAGTTGTATATGCTTTCTTAAAGAATATGAAGACTATGGTCTGCAGTTCACCTGGGTTCATGTAGGATGCTGGGTTATCTTATTCTGAAACAATTTATTTTATTATTTCTATCATTGTTCTAGTATAGAAGATTCACATATCTGTTTATAGATCACAGAGAAACTTCCAGGGACTGTGAATTCTGTGTGACAGCCTTTATTCTGAACCCTTAGTCCATGCTTCAAAGTGACCATTCAGATCACTGAACAAACCTCAGATCACCCAGTCAGCAAACTTTTTATCCTGAAACAATGTTTCTAATTGTACTTTGCATGATAGGAACAAAAACATGGATCCTACCTCACTCATCTGACCCTCAAACATTTATTCCTAATTGCATTGTCATTTTTTTTCAAAAATTATACTATTTAATTTTTTCATTTATTTACATTTATATTTATTTATTCTGGTCTCTTTAATATTTATTTATTTGTTTGTTTATGTAGTGTGTGTGTGTGTGTGTGTGTGTGTGTGTGTGTGTGTATGATTCTATGTGTTTGCATGTGCCATGGCATGTATATCGAGTCTGTGTGCAACTTCAGTGAATCGGCTCTCTCCTTCCACCATTTGTAGGTCCCGGGATCCAACTCTGATCCTCAAGTTTGGTGGATATAGCACTTTTCAGACTGTGACATCTAGTCGGCTCTCTTTCTCTTTCTTGACATTGTTGTCTTCCCCTGACCTGGAGTTTTCCTCCACCATCCCAAGCAAAACTCTTCGTTTATGTCTGTTCAGGTTCATAGCCTGTCTGGTACTCATTTTCCTCAACGTTTTCACCACTCTTAACCACTTTCAACTTACATCTGATACAATAGTCTATCCTGTGACATTCTTCTTCCAAAATTGACCCAATATTTTTCTATAGCTTTTCATCAGTCTCTATATAGTACCTTTCCTAAATGTGTTTACCACAACACATTACAGCATTAACAAGGCAGTTACTTTTTGTGTCCCTTATTTGTTGCTCTCTCAAATTTCCTCTGTATTTGGCTTCAGTTTCTTATTGTTGTTTTAATTCCAGAAAGTGACCACAAATACTCATGACTGAGTACAAACATCATGTTATCAAAGATTAATGGACAAATGTAGACAAATCCCTCCCTATCGGGGATGAAGGAGGTACACTGGTGCCTGGGTGATCCTCTGAGAAGCTGGAAGTCCAAACAAGGAACGGAAGAGATGCTGAGTTAATTTTGTTTTAAGACCTGTATAACACTCCAAAGATCCAGAGTTAAAATTGTAGAAAATCCACTATCAATTATTAATCCTAACATGTGTGTGGAGACAAAATTGGTAGGCAAATCCCTTGTTTAACATTGCTATCTGGTCTGTCCTCAAAAGGAAATATTTGTGTGGGAGGGAAAATGTTTGTTTTTTTGTTCAGCAACAAAGTGGCTTTGATCTGCTGAGAGCTATAAGGGTCCTCCTGCCTTTCACTGTCCACAAGAAACAAAATCTCATTAGAAGATGGAATGACACAAAGGAGAGTTCAGTATCCATTTCATTTTTATGGCCCTAAGGAAAAAGTCATCAAGCTAAATCTGCTTTCATGCTGCAAGCTCACATGTTGACAGCTGAGTCTGAAGAATTTACACTATGGGAAAAACACAGTCATTGTCCGTAGCTCTGTACTTCATCTCTGAAAATGTGTAGTTCTTTTGAGAATTCACTTATCAGTCTCTCAGCACTGAACGTGAGAACTGACTTTTTTCCAAATTAACAGAAAGGTTCCATCTGACAGGGTGCAGAAACCAGACCGCTGTGAGCTAGAGGATGCAGGCGTGTTCTCGGCAGGACCAAGGGACCATGAATCGCAAGCTTTGAGAAATCAGATACCATTTCAGAATAGAATTGGAAACACAATGTTTACACACTCATGCATAAAATAAATGAGTTTTGAAGCAGCAGAATAGACTACACAATATTCAGTTGTGCCAGATCTAATATATTGCCTTGTACGATATTATTTCAGGGGTCTTCAGGGCTATTAAATTAATTTTGGTACATTTTAATTTACATTTCTCAAAGTAATTCATTTCTTTGAAAAAATTAATTGATCTATTTTAGGTGGCATTTAATTTTTGTTCCTGCTAAGGAAAAATTAATGAATACAGTTATCTAGAATTGGATCTTGAAAGACCCTGATATTTAAAAGTGTAATCTTCACTACTTTAATAATTCTTTTTAAAAAAACACTTTTATAAAAGTACCATGGAAATCTTGAGTTCCGTTTGAACAAGAAAGAATGAGAAGGAATTATACATTGTTATTAAGATAAAAAAAATAGATGGGACCTATGGATGTTTTCACAAATTAGTATACAAAAATTATTCCCACTTTTTATATTAAATCCTAATTTAAGTTTGTTAGTATTTAGGACAACATTTGAGTTCAGAAATACGCTGGCATGTGCTTGACATAATGTGTTATACAGCAGTTTTTTTCTTTTCTTGCTATATAAATTCTTCCAGTGTGTTATAGTTTTAACCTTCAATCCTAATTTCAGTTTCTGATAATTTAGAAATTAAGGTTTTTCTTCCATCTATATTTGTGGTTAGAAAACAAGTTTCCATAGCTGTTAGGGTAATAATTTCTTAACATTTATTTGGCTATCTAGTTACTATACTCATTAGCATTTCATTAGAGTAGTTTAACAGTCTACATTAATTTTTCTACTTAATTAAGGCTTCTTCCACATTGGTCATGTCCATGACAAACACTGAAATGCTATATAATTTCAATAAAAAACCCTGAGTTTTAAAATGATGTTTTTCCTGGACTTTGACTCTTACCTGTGAAAGAAGGTATTGACTACTGTAGTTACTATGAAAATAAAGACAACATAACAATATGTAAAAAAGCATGGAGAAGTTCTGAACTTTAGCAAACACTTAAATATTAGCTTTCTGTTTCTGTCTGTCTCTATCTGTCTGTCCCTGTCTCTGTCTCTGTCTCTCTGTCTTTCTCTCTCTCTCTCTCTCTCGGTGTGTGTGTGTGTGTGTGTGTGTGTGTGTGTGTGTTTGTCCATGTCTGTGTCATTTAGCCCATTCCCTTCGGGTGGAGCATGCTAGAAAAGCTTGTGGGACTCACTCTGTGAGTGATTACATTGGAGTCAGGGTGAAAGGGCAACCTGAGCTGGGTTTAATACATGAAACCACATGGATCCTTGAGAAAGCAAAGGCCCAATGAACACAAACAGACCTAATTACATGCCTGAAGTGTGAGGCTGTCCCATTCATTTCAAGAAGACCTGTTTTCTTTTAGTGGAATTTCCTAAAAGGATCATGCCTGTGGATAGACCAACCCATTTGTTTTTTTTTTGTTTTGTTTTGGTTTTTTTTTGTTTTTTTTTTGTTTTTTTTTTCTTTTTCTGTAATTGAAATGGTATGCAAGTCATCATTCCACTTCCTCACTTTTAACAGTCACACCAGGATGGTGTACCCTCATTGGAATCAGCATAACTTCCTCTGTGGTTATGTACTAGGATATTATACACTCTCTTCAGATGCAAATTTCTCCACAAGATGCATTTTTAGAAAAAGAAAACCAAGAAACAAGACTTCAAATAAACTGCAAGAACACGCATTAATATTGGAACCAGATACCCAATCTTGAATAACTTGTAAAACTCTTTAATAAACCATTTTAATTCTAGTATGTTTAAAGACATAAATCATGTCAGATTATCCAACTGCATTTTTCTTAAGTAAGTAAAATGAATTACTTGTTTTGCACAGTGCCAGACTTCTTCATGATGTCATTTTCATCATTTCAGTGGCTGAAATAAATGAGTAATATTTTGCTGACCTTTGGAAAAAGGCCCTGTGTAAACTGTTACTTGATATTAGCAGATGAGTCTCCAGAAGTTGTGTGCTCATTCAGTTAAAGCAGCAGAGACAGCAGTAGACCACTCAAACCTATCATTGCGGCAGCAAGCATTCATCCTTCTAAACTTTCCAGTTACATCTTCAGTACATTCCCTACGTATTTTTAGTTGGCAATGCATGGGAACCAGTGTGCAGAATCAAAGTAATTAAAATGAACGTTTTCTCTGAAATTATTATAAAACTTGAATAAATACTCTTATCTGTGCCTATACAT